CCACATCCACAAACATCCCACTCCCCCCACCACCGACGCTCAGTAACAGCAGTGTGTACCATCTACAAGATGCACTGCAGCAACTCACCGAGGCCCCTCAGACAGCACCTTCCAAACCCACGACCCACTTCCATCCAGAAGGACAAGGGGCAGCAGGTACATGGGAACACCACCCCCTGCAAGTTCACCCTCCGAGCCCCTCACCGTCCCCGACTTGGGAAATACATCGGCCGTTCCTTCAGCGTCACTGGGCCAAATTGGAATTCTCTCTTTTACCAAACATTCAGAGATAGCCGTGGCCACCAAGCTGGCATTAAAAATGTGCAAACGGAAAAAAAGCATTCCAACCAGCTCAGCATGAAACCACATGCGAGCATTTTGCAACTAAAACCAGAACAGAAAACATGCCATACATTTAAAAACACACAGGTACAGCCCGTTTGGTGGTGGAGCAGGGCTCAGGAATGGTAGCTGAACACATGGGCCCAATTAGCTCACTCCATATAACAAGCTAAGGGCCCTTTGAATTTCACAAGAAATCTGGGAAGGATTAGGAATGGAAAGAACAAGCCATTATAGGATTTTTTCCTTTGAAATATTGGAGTCCTAACAACAAACGGTTGAGCTGGAATGGACTGCCTGAAGAGGCAGGTAGAGGCAAATGCAATGGGGAACACGGCTGAGGGGACGAGATGGTGCCATTGAGGTCTACAGCATGGAAAAGAGTCCCTTCGGCCCAACTTGCCTGTGCCGCCCAGTTTTCACAATTGATCGAGTCCCATTTGCCTGCATTTGGTCCATATCTATCCCATCCATGATTCTCAAATGACTAAATTGTACTCACCACTACCTCTGCCAACCTGTTCCAGACACTCACCACCCTCTGTGTGAAAATATTATCCCTCTGGACCTTTTTGTATCTCTTCCCCACCACCCCCCTCACCTTAAACTTATGCCCTCTAGTTTTAGACTCCCCTACCCTGGGGAAAAGCTGCTGGCTATCTATGCCTCTCATGATTTTATAGACCTCTATAAGGTCACCCCTCAGTCT